AACCTGGAATTCAGCATGCAGCAGTGAACTACTAGTGATCAATCCTGCCCTTGAGGATCAAAGCATTTCTTTGTTGGGTTAAGTGACCAGCTAAATGACTGCAAAGAACTAAAATACAATGGATCGAATGAATCCCAGGAATGTAGCATGGTTAATATAGAGCTTGAATGCAGATATAAAAGCAATTAATCTGCCTTTGTAAACATTGTTCTTTTTCCTGTTTTTTTTTTTCTTTTCTTTTTTTCCATTTTAGGAGAATTGTTAGGACTGGAAATACAGCTCTGTCGATAGAACACTTGCCTAGCATGCAGAGTGCCCTGGGTTCAAACCATTGTACTGCATAAACTGTGCATAGTGCTACCACATAGTTGTCATCCCAGCACACAGGAGTTAGAGGCAGGATGCTCAGGACTTCAGGGCTGGATTGTGTAACATGAAACCCTGCCTCAAAAGTCATTCACACACATCAAGGAAGAGCTGTTATTGCTGAGCTTTACAAAAGAACAATACTCCATCACTCTGTGTCATCTTTTGTGGTGGACTGGAACGGCCAATCAAGGCAAGCCCTTCATTAGGAAATAACTAATCAGATTGGATTCTACCTTCTCTGTTTTGAGACATTTGAGAAACAAGATGGCCCTCGCTTTCAGCACTGGAAAATGTTTGATTTAAGTAGATCCAGTTCTAAGGACATGCACTATATTCTATATTCTGTGCGGCTTGCTTCATGCTAACTTTGTCCCAAGTTCTCTAAAAGGTCTTCAAAATCTTGCTTTAAACTGTAACTTGTACAGATGCCATCTCTGAAGTATAAACCAAGGCATACTGGGGACAAGGGGAGTTGTATTTGTGCCCTGGTGCTTTCAGCAGGTTAGCTAGGAAACAATGCTTATATCTTCATGCCTCATTCATAAAAACTTCCACTTTTTGTGGAAGTCCTCATGGGTTGAGGGTGCACCAACTTGGACTTTTATATGTGATATAAGGCATGATGTCTGATGTTGTGTAAGGTTTGGTTCTAATTCAGCGGTGTAATCAGCTTATTCTTAAACATGAAAATTTCAAAAATGTATTTTCATCAATTGCACAAAATTGTTGAGTTCTGAATGGATTTGCATATAATTTAGAATTAAAGAATATAATTTACTCTTTGATGTAAATGAACTAAAATGATCACAAGTTCTACAAAAGTAAGAAAGATTATGGAGTTAATCCTTAAATTAAACCATGAGTTAACTGCATAATTTGACCACTAACATTTTTGTGTGTGGTAAGGGATAAGAGCTATGTGTTAACACACTGTCCATCACATCTAAGGAAATACCTGCCTGGGATCACAGTTTCGAATGTCTCAGTCTGTGGTCATTTGGCATTGTGCGTCACGCCTGGGCTGAAGCAAATGATCATGGTGAGAGTGCATGACCGTTCACTTGATAGTAGCCATCAGGCAAAGAGGAAGAGGCTAGGGTCCCATAGCCATGTCAAGGGATTTCTCCAGTGTCTGGCCCATTTCCTGAAAATTGTCTCACCCTTTCGTAATGCCACGGGCAACCAAGCCTTTCACTTATGGCCTTTATGGAACATTAGAGATCCAGATCATATATGACAAGCAATATATGTCTCTTGAGAGGCAGCTGTGTTCCCACCATCGGTGCCATTGTGTATCTTAATTGTAACATTGTATAAAGGACACAGAATACTAGAAAACTCCAGCTCTTGAACACACTGAATCTGCAGCTGAAGATAACATAAAATCAGTAGGTGTTCCTTCTGAATTAGCATTCATAGCCTAACTGAGTAAGTCCTCTAAGATATGTAAATCCTAAACATTTCAAAAATAAAAAATCATTTGATCATGGAAGATTATTGGCTTAAAGATGAATATGAAGATTTTTATAAGTTTTTATAAGTTTTTTATAAGTTTTTAAGTTTTAAAAAAAGTTGTGTGTGTGTGTGTGTGTGTGTGTGTGCGCGCGCGCACGTGTGCGCCTTAGTGAGTTTTTGTGTGCTGTGTTCATGCAGGGACCCAACAAAACCAGAAGATATTTCAGATCCCCTGGAACTAGGGTTGCAGGTAGTTGAAAGTCACCATATGGGTGCTGAGAACTGAACCTGGGTCCTCTTATCCCATTGAGCCATCTCTCCAGCCCAGGATGTTACACCTCTATATTGCTCATTATTGGAGAAGCAACTGAAGATGCTAATGTCAAGCAAATGCTGCCCCAAACACCAATGCCTCTATATATCTTTACAGAGAAAAAAAATCTTTTAAATGTATGTCTTTTTCTAGGAAGAGGTGAATTTGGTAATTGTTTTACTGCCATATCCAAGATGTCTCCAAAAGAACAGTGTATGACTGGACTGGAGGGAAAAAAAAAAAAAAAAAAAAAAAAGCAGAATTGGCCACAAGGGGGCACTACTTTAGTCGGCTTCAATGAACATAGAAACTGAGGCTCACTGGAGGTTAAGTAACCGGTTGGGCTGGGTGGTCTGTAGAAAGCTCTTCTACTTGCTCCAGTGTTCAATGGATGAACAAAGTCCTGAATGTTTAAACACATAGATGATTTTGAATGCCTGTGACTTCTTCGGATCAGATGTGCCAAGATGACAAAAGGGGCATGGATCTTGAATTAAGATTCTTATTTACAATCTCCAAATGCAAGGGGGTAAACCTTATCACTCGCGGCCACGTGGGAAACAGGTGGCAAAACACACGTTCAGAAAGCAAAAAGAGCAAGGAAGAAAATGTAGACCAGGGCCTTCCCTGAGGATTCCACACAGGGCGAGGCCCCATGAGCAGCTAAGCCGGCCTAAGAGCTGATGCTTTCACGGTTTCCTCAGGCCCTGGGCCATAGGGGGGTCCTGGCTGTATACCTGGGCCTGGGTTAATTTAGTACAAAGCAGCTGTTTTGGTACATGCGAGGCTGATGACGGGATAGTTGGGTTTAAGAACTGTGGGCTGGTTGATGGGCATCAAGAAATACCAACATGCAGGTAGTGATCACTCGGCAGTTGCCAGCGCTAACTCAGGAATTAGTTAACTAACAGTCTGTTGCCTCACCTTACAAGCCCGTCGGACCCTTCGTTTCTGTTTAGGGTGCAGGAATGTACTCCCTCACCATGTTAGTGGCTAGGAAGTCTAGGATCAAGGCACCAACATCTGGAGAGGGTCTTCTGGCCTCACCAGCCGACAGTAGAAAGCAGAGAGAGTGAAAGAGAAAGCATGCAATGAGACTGAATCTGTCCTTTTGGGGACACGATACTGACCTATGGCATTTATTCACTGATCAGTGACCTTGTCACTGACCTTTGTGTAGGCCCTGCCTCTCAATTCTGTGTCACTGAACATCAAATTTCCACAAAGTACGGAGGACCCATCAAAACCAAACCAAGCCTCACTCTGTCAAAGATCACAGTTTACAAAACAAAGAATAATGATTAACACAGAGAAGTATTTAATTATGCAGTTTTCAATTACTCATTAGCATATTGAAGAAACAGTACACCTAATCACATATAACAATTTAATTACTTGTAATTGTTACGTTAAAATAAATAGATTCCTATAACTTAAATATGTCCAGTTTATAGGAATGACATTTGCATCTCTCTACTAGTGTTTTGAAATGCAATTCCAAATATCAATATTTCAAATGGTGATGGCTGAAAATGCAAACGCTAAGATCAGAAGCAGAGTCAGGTCTCAGTCCCTCCTTCACCACCTTTTATCATTTGATCTTCTCCCACCGTTGTGTGGCAATGCTTCCGATAGCTACCTCTTAGAGTCCTTGTATAATTTAATTGGACAGCAAATATTTAAAAGTTCTTACGTAATGCAAGCCCACAGGAGTTCACAGTTATTACACTTATCAGGTTTTTAATTTTTAAAAATTCGTTCATTACAAGTAAACAAATAAACCCTATAAAATGCCATGTGTGATTCTGCAAGTGACCCAAAGTTTCTATTTTTAATTCTCTAAAAAAAAATTGATTTGATTTTAATTTGTGTGACTGGATAGTTGACCTACATGCATGCCGGTGTGCCATCTGTGTGCCTGGTGCTTTCTGAAGCCAGAAGAGGATGTTTGACCCTCTGCAAGTGGAGTTATAGACTGCTCTGGACCACCATGTGGAGGCTGGGAATTTAATTTAGGTCTCTCCAGTCCTTCAGCAAAATAAATACACTGAACTTATCTGGGCCAGAACAAGCCAGAAAATTGCTTCAGCTGAGAATGCTTTGTCTTAGAACCACGGTCACTATATTTAATTGCCATGACTTACATTAAGATCATAGAACGACAAACCTGGGAATACCAAAGTATGTGTGCCCCAGATGGGATAAGATCTTTATGCCATATTTCTGTGTGTGTGTGTGTGTGTCTGTCTGTCTCTTTCTCTTCCTCTCTCTGTCTCTCATACACACACATGAAACTTTATACTTTCATCAACATATTTTTAACCTTATAAGAGTTTTTTTATCTGGGAATTTTAGAATCTTTCCCACAATATTTTGAAAAATCATTCAGTCCATATATACTTTGCTGTCACTCCCTGCCTTCTAATGAGAATTTTTTTTTTGAAAGAATGGGAAAAAGGACTTAAAATAAGTATAGTGGGGAGAAACAGGTGGAAATTCTTTGCTATACCCAGCAGCCTTCAGAAATGAGATTATTTCTCAAATTTGCACACAGACTTATTATCACCCTGACTGTAATCGCGTAGGAGATGAATGGGCATGGTCATGAAGACAGGTTCATGAAATGAGTTTCTTTTCCTTTGAATTCTTTGAAGAAGACAGAAACTGTATTTACGTAGGTCATGAAGCATGTCAGCTTGGTGATGTGCTCTTGGCACTGAGTCCTTAATTGGAAATTCCTTCAGAGCTGCTCCCAACAGGTGCTTCAAGGTAAAAACTGTCTAGAAGGGAACCCTTCCTAAGTGCCCAACACAAAGCTCAGGTGACCTGCAAGGAATAACGTGTAGGTACTAAGAGAAGCAGCATGCCGGCGTGCTGGACTTTGAACGAGAACGTGTCTCTCACGGTAGTTGTAAGTATGACTTCTCTAATTGGCTTTAAGAATTCCCCATTCTAAGGATGACATTTCTAAAATGGTTAAAGTCTGGAAATACTATAGATATGAGGCTAACACTTGTTAGCAAACATTCCTTAAATATATTTAACTTAACCTTATAAAATCATGCAAAGTTGGTTTCCAATTTGGTTCATGTTTTAAATATCTTTAAAGTCAAGTAGTTTGTTTTGCATGGTGTATAAGTGTATTTGCCTATCAGACGTAGTCTTTGAATTAGCCTGTGAAACTGTCATTTTTCTAGAATACTTTAAAGATGCTTCTTCTCACCATGGTCAATTCCCGTTGACTAAGAAGATTCTGTGCTTGTCAGTAAATACTTTGAAGTTGACCCCGCTTATTTAAAATAACCTTAACAAAATTAGGTCATTTCTTCTTATCTGTAATCACTGCTAAAATCTAATCTGTAAGAAATAAATGTATGGAGCGAGTCTGATAAATACTAACAAGCTTTCCATTTCGTTTAAAAAAGGAAAAAAGCACCCAAGTGATCCTGGGTGACAGAGTGGTGCGCCACGGCATTGATGGCGTCTCCTTTCCTTCTACCCTAGCTCTCTTGGCTGGCAGTGAATGTCTATCTGTTTGTTGACACGTTCCGCTGGTATGAAAAAGAAGAGGCTTTCTTTTATACGCGAGTTATTCTGGGTGTAAGTAGATTTACTGACAATCTGTTATTGTTTCAGAAAAGAGAGAACACTTTCTACTCCAGGCTTCTATGTTCTCACTGTCCCTCCTTTTGTCTTTCTAACTCACGGGCAGTCTACGCTGGCCTGGGCGCGCGCGTCCGCCGTGTGCCTGAATTTTAACTGCATGCTCATCCTGTTACCTGTCAGTCGGAACTTCCTTTCGCTGCTGAGGGGAGCCAGTCTGGTAAGTACTGAAATAGTTTAAGTCAGTTCAGTTGGTGTTACTCCTAACACAGGTGCAACTGGAGGCTGGAAAGACGGCAAGCAGGCAGGAGTGCTTGCCTTACAAGCCTTAGGATCCGAGTTCAGAGTCCCAGAATCCATGTAGAAAGCAGTGTGAAGCTGTGTGTGTGTGAAACACCAGCGCAGTCTGGGGACAAAGACAGGAGAATCACCAGCACCCTAACTCCTAGTTCAACAAAGGCCTTATCTTAAGGGAATAAAGCAGAGCATGACAGAGAAGGGAACCTCATGTTCTCTGGCCAATGTGCAATGTGCAAATGTGCAAACCCATGCACGCAACTATACACACATACACACTGTTTTCACAAGTGTGATTGAAACATGTATTTTCCTATGAAACTCCCAGCAATTATGTTTACACTTGTTAAAACTGAAAATTGGTAAATACCGTTTAACTTTGGTTCTTTGCCATTGACTTTCTCTATGACACTGGACTCAAGCTTTTCCCACATGGAGAAATGAAAAGATTATGGCAGTTTGAATCACAATCTTTTCTGACTGAAGGGAGATAAGAAACCACTGAGAGAGGGCCACTCAGAAAACATGCCGAATCCTACCATAATCACAATCACAGGACCCAGATTGAAACTAATGCTTTTAACACTGATTGGTGGTAACCCCTTCCCTAATTAGATTTATTTCACCATGCTAATTACTGCTTTCCTCTGTTATTGAAAACACGAAAAATAAGGCTGTCAGTAACCTTTATCAGAAGAAACACCTTACTGTGGAATCATCATAACTTGTGAATATTAGTTATAGATGCAAAGTGTCTTTCTTGGTGTGTTAAGGAATAGTGTACAGGTCATGGAGAACCTGAGTGGGTGGGGGTGGTAGCCATTGCATCTGTGTTCTGTATCAACAAGCTGACTGAGACACGGCTATAAGATTTATTTAAGAGCTCTGAGTTACAGTCAGAGACCTCAGAATTCCAACATTTGGCTTGAGCTGAAACTCCAGCAAAACAACTAAAGATTTTTTGTTTTGTTGTGATCAAATGCCATTATATCCTAAGTTCTGTGTTCCCACCTGAAGCTACATAGAGATCTAATGAGCCTGGGTCTTAGCCTCTTAGGTCTCATGACACTGTTAGTTTCTGTGTCCATTTCTGTAACTCATTTATTCATTTATTTTGACATGTTAGTGCTGCAGAGGCCCATGGAGAAGGCAACTAGACAAAAACCTCAAGTTCCACAAACTCGTTGCCTATGGGATAACTTTTAATGGAGGTACGTCCTTACTAACTGTCTAACAGGCTTGGTCCTGTCTAAGTGTCTGACCTCATAGCTTTCTTTTTGTACATTTCTCCCAAGTTCATCTTTAGACAAAAGAAACTTTCACCCTGTATCTACCACATGAAACCTTGTATTTGCTTTTTTCAGTTTCTAACCTATACTCAAATGAGTTTTTCTGTAATAATACCTCAAATATCAAAGAAAAGTTGGTAAAATTTCCTTTTGTTTGTAAGTGGCTTGTCTGAAATGCAATGATAAATACCTATTTAAATGAACACTTTGCTACTCATATAATTCAGAACTAAAATCAACTCATAGACAAAACCTCACTCATATAATAGGAAAAATGACAATTGCCATTTAATGAATGTTGATATAGATGGAATAATGTTCTTCTTTGTGTGGTAAGGATACCTTGCTCTTATCTCTGATATCAGAGGTAGAGAAAGGGAAAAAGAAAAGCATGTTCATATGAACTAGGTTCTGAATAGCACTGACTTAGTGGACATAAAAGAATCTTGAAAAATACAGATTGTACAGTCATATGAACTGCTATTTTACACTTGTCTTTTAACTAGAAATTACTATCTCTGAGCAAGTTTAGACACCCTTGAGGAAGAAAAAGAATGAAAAGGGCGGTAGCAATCAACCAGCTTGCAGTTTTGCTGGGAAACAAAGACATTGAAATAAAAGGCCACCGGAACGATAAAGAGTTATGATTCGGGACTCTTTCTCTCAAACTAATTTAACTATAAACTGTTTTCCTCATTTGTTTTTATCCTCTCATGCATAGAAAACAGCAGAGTAAAAGGAACACTCAAAACAAATGTGAATTTAATTAAGCAACAAGACATGACAGACGGTGCCGGGGTGCCAATTAACACAACTTTGGGTGTGCAGTGAGACATGTGGGGAAGATTCTCCCCATTGATTGTCTTAAACGTCAGATCAAACCAACCCGAGATATGCTTTGCAGAAGGTCTTTGCGGTCTGTTTAAAAAAAAAAATAGTGTAAAAAAAAATCAAGTCCTAGATGAAACAGCTGGTGGACGGAGGCCTGGGGATGGGGCTGGTCTCGCTGCACGTCCCAGGGCTGGGGACAGTACAGAGCACATATGTGTATGCTTAGAGCCTTTGGAAGTCAGTGGCAACACCAGGAAGGAGACTCCAGCTCAGAAATGGGAGCCATTTCCACACTTAGAAGCAATCAAGAATCAGAACTGGAGTCCCCTAAAAGCACTGAGCTCCCTATGGTTGGAGGCTTCCAGGAAAGGCCACGGAGCTCCTGGCTAAACTTGTCAGAAAAGGAATTCTAGGATTTCTCTGGGCTGTCTTTAAAACATTCAAAATTCCCTATTTCTGAATTAAGAATAGAGATTGAACACAGTGAAAAGGCAAGAAGAATCTTATTACCATGCATGGGTTAAAGGCAGATTTTAAAAGAACATTTTAAAGATGCAAAGAAAATAGGTGGTCATCAAAATTCATCAGAAAGGGGCACAAAGCATACATGAAAACATGAGTTGTGAACGGCTTCCTTCCTAAATCTCTGGGTATATATTCTTTCTATGGACCATATAAATGCATAGATAATATACATTGACTCTCTCCCATGAGCAGTGCACCCTGATAAGGCCTATTACCCTTTGAAGCCCCTGTGGTCAGTGCTGTTTCAGGATGGTGTGAAATCTAGTGTGAGTGAATATTTGACTAGGATCATGTGACCAACTTCTTCTATAGCACCTCAATTGCTGGCCGAGTGAGCTCAGAATAAGCCTCCACAGTTCACTGTGGAATTAAAAGAGCATCAATAGCAATATCATTTCTCTACCTCGGTAAGATAGGGCAGACTACTTCAAGACTAAATCTGTGTGGAATCTAAAGGATACAAGGTCATTCATTCTCTTGCTGCTATTGCAAATAAGGTCAAGTCTAAGGCACAGCACATGTCAGAGGAGCTCCACAGTTCTGGCCAAAGTTGTTACTTACCACACCCTCTTGCCTTTTCCCCTTGGGTGCTCTTTGGAGAAGTGGTTCTCAACCTGTGGGTCATGACCCCTTTGAAGGATGTGTATCAGATACCCTGCATATCAGATATTTACATTACAATTCATAACAGTAGGAAAATTATAGTTATGAAGTATCAACAAGAGTAATTTTACGGTTGGGGGGAGTTCACCACCACATGAAGAACTTTATTACAGTGTCAGGAAGGTTGAGAAGCGCAATTCCAGAGTCCTCTAACACCTTTGCTCAGCTATTCCCCTCTGCTGAAATTCCCTTTCCTTCATGGTCCTCCCTGGGTAGGTAAGACAGTACCATACCAAGGACCCCCTGTCCGACTGCTTGTTCTAGACCTCATAACTTCACCTACAGGTCTCAAGTCACACTCCCTACAGAACTGTCAGTCTCTGAGAGCCTTCGAGACATGAAGCATCTCTTGCATCTTAGCCTGAGTCGCTAACGCAAGAAGACAGTGACACATTTGGTCAAACCAGGGTGAGTGGCGTGAGAGGCTGGAGGAATTGGTAGGAAAAGAGCAAGACACAGACGCCCGAGCTTCATGTGGATGAAGTAGGGTTTGGGGCCTGATACTAATCGTTCAAGATTATAAATTCACATTCAGCTGCAAGGAGAAAAGCCAGGCTGTTCTCTCTCTCCCTCTTCTCCTCGCAAATCTCCGAAGGGCATTGGTATTCTTTCCAGCCCACTTCTCTTGAACATCTCCTGGGGCTCACCCCCAGCAGGGTCAGAGCTTTGTCTCCCAGCAAAATGCCCTCATCCCATCTTCCATGGCAACCAGCCCCACCGCTGTGGTTTCCAGCCCAACAAAAGCACCAAGGTGGAAAGAAAACTCTACTTCGTCCAATCCTTGACAATGCAATTACTACATTTCACATTAACTAAGAAATGTGGCTGGCAACTGTGCTTTTAAAGGAAAAAAAATGCTAAGCCCCAGTTTCATAGCTACACCTTGCTTTTCTCATTTGTCCTTCTGCTCTATTCACGGGGGAGCAGCTGCAGTGTCCCTGGGCTTATTTTATTAGCCTCGCCCATTATGCTGCTTTTCAGATAGCCAAGTGGCTTAATAGAGGTGTGTAACCTTGGAAGAAATGCATCCACAGAGAAGTTTGCATGCCAGCCTCTAATTTCTCATCCGTTCCCCTAGAAGTTGAACTGCAGGCTCTAATTGGTCGGATCATTAAAGGATGTAATTAGAGACTGGTGGATGGAGGCTAGGGAGGGAAGAGAAGAGGCGAAACAATGGTATCTTCCTGCCTGCCTGCTTGCCTGCCTGTGATAAGCAGGAGCCCCCTCCAGCCACTAATAAATTGTGTTCAGGGACCTGTAACCTCACTGGTATAAAAACCGTAGTTTCACAGCCTTTACGTTCGCATTAATGTGGATCTTTCTGGATTTCCTGGTCCACGGCAGACCTTGAAGACCCCTCCAATTGAAAAGCAGTACTTGGAGCCTGAGTTTCCATCAACGGAGGTTGTAAATTGTGACCCACGCAGCTCTTTCCGCAAATTCTGCAACTTGTGTCTGCCAGGTTTCCGGGGTGTAAAATTACCCTGAGTGCCGCTCCCGAGGAGTTGCTAAAATTAGTTCGCAAACATCAATAAACAGAACAGGGGCAGGTTGAGAAGAGAGGGTACAGAATAAAGCTGCTGAGAAAATGATTTGGAGCACCCAAGGTAGAGACGGCCAAGGCACACCACATTCCTTGGGATCTGACCCTAACAAACTGCCACCAACCAGTTCACCACCGGAGGCGCTCGAAGCTCCAACAAGGCATCACCGGAACTCCTGCCTCATAGGTTCTAGCGCGATTTACACGCAGGCGGCTCACACTCTGCCAGAATGGACCCGTTCTCCACCAGACCCACGTTAGAAAGTCTCATGCAGGTTCTGGCTTCGAAAGCCCTGGGAAGACCTGTTCCTAGGTCCTGGTTTCCACGCACAGCTTTATGAAGGGGTGACTAACTCCAGACGCACTGTTGTCTCTGACAGGCAGGCAGAAGGGTGCTATTATACCTCCTTTCATCTGTAGGGGGAGGGAATAAGAAGGAAAGAAAGATATAAAGGGCCCTTTCTTGAGGCAACTGGCTCTAACTGTAGCCTTTCGGTAAAAGTTCCTTATTTGAACTCAGAACTTTACAGACCAATTGAATGGGCATGAAGAGCATTGCCAAGATAGCTGGTCTTTTAAAAAAGAACTTGGGTGAGAAAATAAAATTATAGAAAGACCTGCTTACAGCGGGTGAGTTATGGAACAAAGTTATCTTGAGGTTTTACAAGTATGAAGCAGTGTAGAGCATGGAAAGTCCACAGGGGCACACAAGGAGTTAATTTTCAGTCAGCAGGATTGGATTCACTGCAGTACTGAAGATCTCCCTCTTAAACCACTGTGAAGTTTTGGAAACAAATTATGAATTTCACATCCGTAGAACCCTTTTCAGTGAAAGGTGTTTTTAGTGAGCTTCAAAGAAATACAGTTGTCACAGGCTGGAAGAGGTCTAAGATGTCATGTGGTATTATGAATATTCTTTCCCTGAATCTACCCATTTTACAGATGAGAAAACAGAGACAGAAAGAAATTAGGTAATTAAAAAGCATCCACTTCTGTATTTTTTTCTGCTAGACACCAACACCCAATCTATTATGAGAGAGTATTTCAGTAGCAGAGGAGAGAGACCAACCACAGAAGCATCTTAAACCCATTCACTGAATAGCTTGATTGTTCACATTAAAAAGAATAAGATGTATAAAATAAAAAAAGAAAAACTACAGTGTCTGAAAAGGAAGGAAAGCAACCTCTCCCATAACCTATTAGCCCCAGTGGCAACAACTGCTATACATATACGAGCCCCAGCTCAGATATTTCTAGTTTTCAGCCATGATCAAATCTAAAGTGAAAATCGAATGCTTGCACAATCAAAATGGTCTCGGGTGCTTTTTACCCTGAGAGTCCCAAGATAACTCAAAGATTACACATTTAATCTACTTTGTGAAACAAAAGCAAGAAACATTTAATACATAAACTTAAAAGTACAGGAGAACTACAGGGTAGCATAGTTCTAGCAGAGTCCCTTAGAGGCCACGCCTTGTGAGATGTCTGCGTTTCCTTCTCCACATCGTTAGTGTCTTCAGCTCTGATAGAAGAGATGTGGCAACAGGAGTGAATCAGTAGCTCCAGGTCCTAAATTATCTGTCCCACATACTTAAATGCACTTTAACATTGTCAGATAGCCACCTGGAAATCAACCTAACAGGAAACAGATTTAAATCAACAATTCATTCCAAGGGAGAGAAGTGTTATAAAAACAGGCAAAGATGAAAGAGAATTCATTCATTGCTTTTTTAAATTTTTTTGTGGTTGTTGGTATAGATGATTCATTAGTAAATCAATCCTATAATATAATATGAAAATCAGTTTCTGAGCCTGTGATATGGGAATGCCCCCAGTCCCTGTCTCCATGGAGAGAGAATGATTTTTGTTGTTGATAATCTTGTATCGGCCACTTTGCTGAAGGTATTTATCAGCTGTAGGAGTTCCCTGGTAGAATTTTTGGGCTCTCTTCTGTATACTATCATACCATCTGTAAAAAGAAATACTTTGACTTCTTCCTTTCCAATCTGAATCACCTTGATCTCCTTTAGTCGTCTTGTTGCTCTAGCTAAAACTTCAAGCACTATGTTAAATAGATATGGAGAGAGTAGACAACCTTGTTATGATGTATTTGGTGGAGATCCCTGGAAGGATTGTTCTCTTCTGAGGGGAGGTGAAGATGGGGATGGATCTGGGAAAACGGAGAAGCGGGGCTGGGGGCTGGGGAGAAAGGGGGGAGGGGAAACTACAGTGTAATATGAGTGTAATATGAGTGAATAAAGAAAAAAAGAAAAAAGAGAGAAGATGCTGCTAAATAAGAGATGGCATTTCTGAATAATTGTGCAACTATACCCACAGACGTCAAACAGCAGCAATATTCTCAGAAGCACGTGCAAACATGAACACACCTGTATTCGGAAGCCAGAAGTTGGCATTGAGTGTCTTCCTCAGTTGTTTTCTAACTTTTTGAGACGGACTCCCTCCCTGAGCCTGGAGTTCACCATGTTTTGGATGGACTGCCTAGCCAGCAATTCCAAGTATCTGCCTTTTTCCCCTTCACTCTGCCCACACAGCACCAAGGTCGTAAACCAACACCGCTGTGCTCAGCTGCTACACAAGTGTTGGGGATAGAACTCCAGTCTCCATGCTTACAATAGCAAGCCCTTTGCCAACTGAGCTATCTCTCCTACCCCCAGTATTCTCAGAAGCTGCTTGATTTCATTTGCCCTTTCTTCCACACCTCCAGTCCTAGAGGACAACCACAGAGGATGCTGTGACACACCCACAATGTGTATAGACCATAAGAGTCGCTGCCACAACTACTTCTTCCCACCACAGACGCAGAAGGAGGAAGGTGGGAAATAACTGTATCCCGTGTAAAGAGCCCTGCCCGCACACTTAGGACCGATCCCAACAGCGTGTGTCAACTGGCCATGCAGCTGGGTCTCCATGGAGACGGTGTGACTGCTGGCTTCCCAGCAGGGTTTCCAAGCTAGGAAAGAGCAGCACGTGTGCATAATCCCCAGGCCAGACCATCCTGTTTCCTCGAGTTTGTCCTCCTCTCCTAAAATTTAAACATGCCAACTCTCAGACCTAGATAGCACACTTTACTTCAGAGGACAGAAAGAATATATTTGGTTCCGCAAATACAGGCTCATTTCAATTCTGTGAGAATCATCTATGCAAATATATGTGTGTATGTAGTTGTATCAGCACATAGATATGTATATACATACATAATACATACATATTAAAACATGTGAAGAGAAGAACAAAAAATATGTCTGAAAAAATGCAAAGACAGTATCTCCCTGGTGTCAAATGGCTTGTCAAGTAAACATACATTGCTGTTTGTATGTTAGGATACTATGATACTATGATACTGTGTATCATAGTATCCTATGTATAATTCTTTCTGATTTCTTTAGGCAGCTTCATGTTTCTGTAGCCATAAGTATACCATCTTTCCTTAAGAATTACACTGTAATGTATATTATCTTGTATTGTGTTGTATATTGTCTAGGACTATCATTGAGCCATGATAAAACACTGTGGCCAAAAAAGCAAGTTGGGGAAAAGAGTGGGGGCAAAGCAAGGAGAAAGGCTTAGGGAAAGGGTTTATTTGTCTCCATAATTGAAGGAAGTCAGGGCAGGACCTCACACAGGGCAGGAACCTGGAGGGGGAAGCAGATGAAGAGGCTGTGGAGGGTGCTGCTTACGGTCGTGCTCCTCATGGCTTGTGCTTTCTTACAGAAGCCAGGACCACCAGCCCAGAGACTCCACTCACCGTGGAGCAGGCCCTCTCACATCAAGAACTCATTAGGAAAATGCCCTACAAACTGGCCTACAGCCTGATCTAATGGAGGCATTTTCTCAGCTGAGCCCCACCCCCTCTGATGACCCTAGTTTGTGTCAAGTTGACATAAAACTAGCCAGAACAATAGCCACTTCTTAATATCATGACTTACATCACTTCCAAAATGATTACATATTTAAAATTAAATCATGGTGAATTGAGATTACTTCATTTCTTAATATAATTAAAATACGTGCGGGTAAGCCATACGCCATATGTTCCACTCCATTCAAGACGATGGGAAAGATGCGCAAATAAATCACTTTTCCTTGTAGACTGCCAAAACCAGAACAGAGAAACTTAAGGTAGCACCACAGTGTTTTGGAAAGACTACAGGAGAGGGCTTTGATGCAGCCTATGTCTGATGTGTCCCCATCCTCAGTCATCCACGCTGTGGCACACGTGTTCAACCTGGAGCGCTACCACCTGGGGCAGGCCCAGGATGCCGAAGGACTGCTGGCTGCGCTTTCCAAACTTGGCAATGCCCCAAACGAGAGCTACCTCAATCCCGTCCGTACCGTGTATACGGTGAGTTCGTGTTTGCATGTTAACCAGCCTCACTGCTGCAGAGTCACCTCTCTTCCCATCCCTATATCAAGAGCAGTAGATTTCAAAAGCTTTACATAAAAGAGCTGATAAAAGAGGTTTCTGCCAAATGCTAATATCAATTTCACCTTTCTTTTTTAGCAGCAAGTTTTCTAACCATTAATGTGGCTGGAAGGATGTGAGCAAGGAGAAAAACATGCTCCACTTAATTAATTAATAGTGAAAAGATACATGTGATATTTTAGGAATGCAGAAACCTGTTAAAGCCTTAATATTGTGAATTTTAAAAGCAGCTCCTGATCAGATTTCCCTAGCTGATGTTAGATTCACAAAGTTTATGCCATCAAAACCCAGAAATGATAGATTGGATGCTTTGTTTTCAACCTGCAAATTATTTTTCTGGGTCTGTTCTCTGTGCCTCATATTCCGGCACATGTGTGAACTGCTGGTTTGCCAAACCATACGCTGACTGAAGAAGGTCGTTGCAGAATGACAGCTGTGGCTGGCGACACCATCAATGCTCATATCTAGGTGCACAGAGCAACAGTGTCTCTGAGAAGAAAGATAAAATCAGACACAGCATCTTATCCTTACAAGTGAAGGCCTCCTCTCCCTCCAGCCACCCTGACATCTCTCGTGTTGATTCATCGAAACATTTTCCAAGAACTACCATATTAGAATAGAGACCAGATTCTTTTAAAAATCTGTTTTCCAAAAGAAAATGTCTTAAGGCCATACACTCCACCAATAGGAATCTCTCTGGTTGTTATTACCTAGGCCTTCTCTATAAGTGACAGTTTTGCTCATATTCCTTTACTTACGAAGGAAAATTCAGATTCTACTTAGGAAAAAATTTTTCAAAGTCAAATTCTTGATTTTCTTATGAACGCTTACAGTATCAGGCCATTAATAAACTGAATTCCCTTTTCTTAACTGACATCAATTAAATTCACAAATTTCATTGCTACAAATCAAAACTACTTAGATGCTTAGATGCCCTAAGCATTCAGAAATACTTTTAATACCATTTCATTGAATCTCAGAATTTATCTGGCCACCTGTTTAGGTCTACATTTTTCCCCACTAAGGCTTTACATAATTCACTGCTCACAAGAGACCCAAGAATAAATCTCAACATCTTGAAGAGACTATGCAATAAATAGTATTTATTATAAATAACCTTTAAAGCAATTTAACAAGCTAATTAAGTTACTCCAAACACAGTTGTTTCAAATTTTTAGAAGCAATATACTTTGTAAGTACTAATTAAGCTCAGAAGCCCCTCTAATTTGGGTATTTGGAGAGATGATTATCAATAACTTGAGACATGCATTGAATCAATTCGTAGGTAATGGCAGTGAGCGCAGACCTGCCCAGAAGTCTATGGCAGGGAGAGAGAAGAAATGAGCTTTCATAGTCAAAAAATAATGATTTGAACTTAGCGTATCACGTGCTGTAAATTGACGTGGAAAGTGCCTGAGTATACTTACAAAAATATTTTAAATGTTTTACGTATACTCTCTTTCAATTTTATTCCACTTTTCTATTCTGTAAAAAGAAGAAAATAAACAATGGAGAAGTCCCTGTCCAAATTACTTCCAGATCTCAAAGCAGCCTAAATTAATGAGGTTTTACTGACAAAAGATACAGTGTAAGTTTATTGAGTTGGTAGTTGGCTCAGAGATGGGAACACAGGGTATGAATACTAATGACTAAGCAAGAGTATGGAAACTCACAATAAGAACAAAAATGTTTTGCAGCAATGTTCTAAAAGGCTATTTAACTGTCCCTTGCACTCATGGGTCAGAATCCTGGCCTTTGGGGAGTGCCCGCCAGGTAAAAACACCTGTACCCATATTGACCACAGAGGATTTGCCAAGCCTTACTCCAAGGCCCCCTGAGGTAATGTGAAGGAAGTGCAAGTCATCGTTCCTTCCAATTAAAAAGCTAGAGCAAGGCATAACCACCAAGGGGAAAGAGCATGCAGTTGCTCCCTCAGGACTGCCCCTAAGGAAAAGCTCCCCTCAAAAAAGTGTTTATTAATGTTAAGATGAAATTAGGTGAGCCACAACTTTTAAGCTTAAAACTTAAAAACTTGAAACTTGAGCTTATACTGAAGCACTGTTCTTCAAAAGCTTTCTAGCACCAACTCAAAAAGTAGCTTTGACAAGAAAATTAATTCAAGCAAATGGAAAATATGTGCTTAATGGCATGGTATTTTATAAAGTTTGAGTAAAGTAAATATCCATGGTGAGACAGGGGAGGAAGTAAGAATTTACCATGATGGTTTCTTAAAATGTACCTGGACTTTGGTGAAATGTACCTGGTCCTGTGGGTTGTCACAGAACACCCTAAATTGTTCTTTGCTTGAATCCTTTAGTACTGATCCTAAAAATGCAAAAACCCAAAATATTAATTTGCTCGTACTTTGTGTACTAAATTTGTGTCTCCTAGAGCACGACCATCAATCTATTAATGACAGTCTCTGGGATTACTGGCCTGGTGATCTCTGTGGCTCTGATCTTGATCATGACCTCTTCAACTGAGTTCATCAGACAGTCCTATTATGAGCTATTCTGGTATATACACCATATTTTCATCATCTTCTTCATCAGTCTGGCCATCCATGGAGCAGGGTAAGTCCATATTAGATTCAGGGTGTTCGGACCAGTGTCTCTATATATACGTTCCCTGACTATTGAGAACAGAGCATCCGTGAACATTGTTGAGCAAGTATTTGTGGTGCAGAATGTCAAGTTCTTTGAGCCCACGCCAAGCATAGCTGGGTAGTATGAATGGTCTAGCTTTAGCTTGTGAGGGTTCTCCACACACCAGTTTACAATCCCATCAACAGCTTCCTCCCCCACATCCTCACCAGCATTTTCTGCCAATCGTTTTCTCAGTCTTAGCCATTCCGACAGGCATTAGATGGGTTCTCAGAGTCATTTAATTTGCATTTCTCTAACTGGAAAGGATGTTAAAGGCCTTGAGATATTTCTTATCTGTTTTTATTTCTTCTTTTGAGATCTCTCTGTTCTGATCCATAGCCCATTTTTAAATTGCATTGTTTGTTTTCTTAACTCTGGTTTTTCAATCCTTAGTATCCTGTGGACATTAATCCACTCTCAGGTGCATAGATTGCAAACACTCCCTCTTACTCTGTAGCTTTCCTCTTCACCTTATTGTTTTCTTTGCTACACAGAGCTTTTTAGTTCTTTAAAGTCACATTTGTCAATGATTGGCCTTAATTCCTGAGTGAAAGAAGTACTGTTCAGAAAGTCGAGGATTCTGCTTATGTTTTCTTCTAACAGTTTCAGTGTTTTTGTGTTTCACACTGAGATTTTGGTCCATTTGAAGTTGATATTTGCGCAGGGTAGTACATACAGGTCTAATTTCATTCTAGACACCCAGCTCTCCCAGCATCAGTTGTTGAAGATGCTGTGTTTTCTACAGTGTGCGCATTTTGGCATCTTTGTCAAATCCAAGATGCGTTGATTATGTGTTGTTTTGTTTGTGTGTTCTATTTTTCCATTGGTCTACACGCCTGCTGTGTGTCAGTACCATGTCTCTGTAATGTAGTTTGAAATGTGGTGTGGCAATCCCTCTAGCATTGTCTCTTTTTTTCCTCAGAACCACATTGGCTAACCAGACTCTTTGGTGGTTCCATATGAATTTTAGAATTTTTTTCCTAGTTCTGTCAACAACATCATGAAAATTTTGATTAGGGTGTGCAGAATCTGTAAACTGCTCTCGCCATTTTCACAACATTAATCCTACCAACCCATGAGCATGAGCAGTCTTTCCATTTTCTAGTGTCTTCTTCCTTTCCTTTCTTCAGAGATTAATACTTTCACTGTGGAGGTCTTTTATCTCCTTGGCTAAACATTTTTTTATACTATTGCTAATAGGAGTGATTTTATAATCTCTTTCGCAGCTTGTTTGCTGTTAATATATAGGAAGGCTCCTGATTTTTGTAAGTTGGCTTTAGAAATCTTAGTGTAATCCTCTTTGAATGTGGGGAATATTCCTGTAACCCCCTAAACTCACATCTCCTGCACTCACACCCAGTGTGTTAAACCACGAGTGGATTCCAATGGTCAGTAACTTGCTAAAGATGTTTTTTTTTAATGCACAAATAATATTTCATAAGGAGAATGTTTGAGCTATTTCAACATTGCTGAAAGCCTTATTTAGGGATAAGGACCTCATTTAATCTTCTCAGCTTGATATATTCTGCAGCTACTGTTTACATCAAAAGCGATTGGCAAATTCTATACAAGATGCCAAGTAGATGTAGGATTGTTGGAAGGCATTAAAGCTCACTAGTCTACCTATTATGCAATGGTATAGATGGAGAAATTCTAAACTTTTTAATTTTTATTAACAATATACTTATGGAAGCTTTTGTAGATAGCATGGAGAGAGTTGCCTACCTTCTAAGGATGTAGGTACTGAAACACATGACATCCACAATCTGGCTCCCATTTATCACTCACCTATCCAAGGTGGGCATTATTTCTGCCCTGGAGATTTACAGATAGTACTGATCACCTGACTCAGAGGGGTGTCATCAAGTTTGAGTGACTTACGTGGAACACAAAGGCTAACATGTCATTTCTAGCAGACACCATGCTGCTCACAAAAGCATTATTGCTACTTCCTCCCATGCCCAATAATAGCAAAGGAGATACTGCTCCACAGCCAAACCAGGACACATGTCTCTGTGATGCTGATGTTTCTCAGTCTATGAGCACATAGTTTCTGAAAACAAACAAATACATCTTATTCGTTAGCACCTAGGAATTGAGCAGCTTCCAGATTCTACTACGTCGGTGTCTGGTCCTTTGCTGTGAGAGTACAAGTCAGTAAAGTCATCCTGAGAGGTGATGCCAAAGCAATTTGCAAAGGTCAGTCAGTCATGCATCTATAGCAGATGCAATATGGTAGGATTACAGGACTCTTTATCCAATGATCCATTCATTCAGGCTTCTCTTTCTACTTTTAAATTTATTGATAGAGCCTCAAAGACACATTTCAAAGTGACCTGTTTTGACCTTGTCAAATGCTAAGCCTGCTAGTGGTCACTGGGGGAAAATATACCATTATTCTGGGCACTTCCTTTGACTTATTCACTTGAAACTTCTAAGTGCTCAGAAACAAGCTAAGAAGGGTAGAAGTTAAATCAATCCGCAGAAGAAGCCAATCGTACAAAGTTAGCCAATTAGCCCAAATCAGCAATCAGAGGAGATGAATCCTAATTAAATTCAACAGTCTACAAAAGGATGTGTTCAAACAATTTCCTTCATTATGAATTCTCTAATATAGACACTTTCAATGTGACACAGGGTACCACAAAAGGCCACTTCTTTTCTGGGATCTTCAAAGTTATACAAAGCTTTTTAAATGCCTATTTTTAAAGATGTTGAGGGAAGTGAGTGACAGCCCAAGCTTCAAGAGATGGGAGTGTTGTTCCGGAAGCCACTGCAGAGTGTAAATCTGTGTAAAGACACTGCTCAAAATCAGCTTGACATTTTTGTGCTTTTTATTTTGTTTTCTCTCTCTCTTTCTCTCTCTCTCTCTCTCTCTCTCTCTCTCTCTGTGTGTATGCATTTCTAAGTCGAATTGTTCGAGGCCAAACTCCAGAGAGTCTTCAGCTGCACAACGCCACCTTCTGCAGAGACCTCTATGCCGAATGGCAAGCAGCTGCCTTGTGCCCTGTACCTCAATTTTCTGGCAAGGAACCTTCGGTAAGAATGAACCCAGGAGCTTTTTAAAAATAAATGTCCCCACGGTTAAAATAACGAGAGCTTTTATAGGCTTGAAAAAAAAGAACCGCCCATGTCACCACTTGACGAAGCCAACTCTTTATTAAGTGGGCTAATGGAGAAATCAAGTTATGGATAATTTTAAAAGAGATTTACTGCCAAAAGCACTTTGTTCAGCTTTGAAATGTATTCTCCTTAGGCTTAAATATGGATGTCTGATATTGTGGGACTTCATAACATCAGAGTAATGGCTCTGAGGGAGTTAGCTTCATGGCTCACCACGCTCTGCACCCTTGCTATCTCTCTTGCCTGACTTCTCAGTAACTAGGAAGACAAAGTCTTTTCATAAGTTTGCCTTCTTTCTTTCTCCAATTTTTGGTGATCAAAAGAACTAGGGGTGTCCAGTTACTTTTGTTCTAATTAAACTCAATGTTAGCCAAGAATAGATTTAATTAATTTAAGCATTAATTTGGTGATAGTGTCCACAGACTTTTGAAAGTTATGTTTTCTAGGTTGGCAACTTAGTTAAACGGGAATAAAAATTCCCATTGGTAGAGTACTGAGTTCTATCTCCAGCACCACAAAAAAACATGCCTGTAATCCCAGCCTGCAGAAGGTGGAAGCAGGAAGGTCAGAAGTTCAAGGTCATCATCAGCTACCTGGGGAGTTCCAAGAGGGCCTAACCATTCTGGAAGACATGAGACCTTGTCTCAAAACAAGCAAAAACAGAAAACAAAAACTAGGAGGAAAAAAAGTGCCCTAAAATGTGTGATCATTTAAAATAAGAATAGAATAGAATAGAATAGAATAGAATAGAATAGAATAGAATAG